ACATACAGTATATGTGTGTGTATATATATATATATATATATATATATGTCTAATATATGTAATATTGTATTTATATATATATATATATTTCTTATTTGTACACATTTGGTACTAGTATTGCAACCTTTGAGTAAATAAGGCACAAAGGTGTACCTTTTGAAAGGGTACCGGCCCAGTGACAGCTTATGTACCTTTTTTCTGAGTGTGTATAATTATAGGACAGAAGAAGCATGGAACAGAAGAGGTTTTGTTTAGAATGCAACATGTATCAAGAGTTACAAAGTGAGAGTCTCCAAAGGTCACTGTTTGTGCAAAAATAAACATTAAAAAAAGAAAAGAAACACAAAGTATCTCATTACAGCCTGTCCTCAGATGCTGTTTAAGTAAATATTGCACTGTTTATTGCTTTCAGTTTAAGGTGGTTTTGTAATTTCCACAGTTGGATCGTCTTGGCCTGGAGTCATACAATGAAGACAGGAATGCTTCAACAGTGCGGTGCAAATGCTGTTGGTTGTGCATTGAGAACGTAATACATTTGAAACACTAAATACTACAGATTTGGCTGGTGTGGTTTTAGCACCGTGCTACCATTCCTCTGAAAGAACTCTTCATAAAATCAAAGTATTGTTTGGGCAGCTTTTAAAAACGAAGATTTCCTTTAAGATCAAACAAATTCCATTAATAAAATCTGTATTTTGGCAAACAACCTCACAATTGGCACAAGGAGAATCTATGAAATATAGATGGAAGTTCAAGACACACAAGTGAGGAAGGAAGACAGATGAGCTGAAGAAACTTGCTTCCACTACAGTTCAGTTTGGTCTCTTCACTGCATCTACATGCATGCAAACACATGCTTCCTTCTCTCTGCTGGTTTAGTTGAAAGGAGGAATCTCCTCTCCAAACTTCACGAGGTGAGCGGTATTTTTGGCTTCATGGAGCACCTGTGTGTGCGGAGACAGACAGCGACACAGTTGTTGTACATATGTACTGAAAATGTGCATGTTAAATCTGACAGTTACAATTTAATTAATTGTACAATATTACAACAATACAAAATGAACATGTTGTCATTCATCATTCAGCAGAGTACAGGCCCGTGATCTGGGCGGCACACACCTTGTTGTGGACGTATGACTCACAAGCGTAGCACCAGACAGAGAGGTCAGCGAAGCTCAGCACCATAGGGTGACCCGACACCTGTCCGTGGGTCACCATGTGCTGCTTCACATAACGCCCGCAGAGCACCTAAGGTACAAATTATTTTTTTGTAATGATTGCTTTTACACAGTGGAGCTATGTAATTCCATGTATTCCCTGATGGGTAATAATTTATATATTGCAAATAAAACATGAATTGAATCATTCACTATTTTCTGTGCATTCTTAAAAACTAACAACTCGTATATAGGATTGAAGTGATGTACATTCCCTTACATCCTACATTTTTTCAGACATTTCCCACATTTTTTGCATTTGCATGCACGCTTAGTGAATGAGACCCAGTGTGCATCACTGTTGCCAGTGACAAGCCGTAACTCTAAACTTCATTCAGCACTCTGTAAAGCTGCTACATGAATGAGTTTGGCTCATCTATTCTATGTGTTGTTTTTGCTGTGACTTTGAGCGTCATTAGCTGTCACCTTGTAGCAGAAGAGGCAGATCCAGTTTTCTGTATCACCTCCACACTCTTCACACGGCAGGAAGACATCGATGCCACCTGCAGGCACCGGTCGCACTGACTCCAAGTGTGGGCACCATGGCAACGGGTCCACCGCATACATGGTGTCCTAGCAACAAAAGCCACATGATTGTATCACCATTTAAATTCACATTTACAATATCGGCCAGAGTATTGAATGACACGACAGAATGAAAGAATGAAAACAAAAAATCCAGCTCTCAGTGACAGCAACATTCTTAAATTCACCCACATACATATATACAGTGGGTACGGAAAGTATTCAGACCCCCTTGGCTTTCCTAATCAAGTCCAATCAGTATAATCAAACACAGCTGGACTCAAATGAAGGTGTAGAACCATCTCAAGGATGATCAGAAGAAATGGACAGCACCTGAGTTAAATATATGAGTGTCACAGCAAAGGGTCTGAATACTTAGGACCATGTGATATTTCAGTTTTTCTTTTTTAATAAATCTGCAAAAATGTCAACAATTCTGTGTTTTTCTGTCAATATGGGGTGCTGTGTGTACATTAATGAGGAAAAAAAAATAACTTAAATGATTTTAGCAAATGGCTGCAATATAACAAAGAGTGAAAAATTTGAGGGGGTCTGAATACTTTCCGTACCCACTGTATATATATATAAGTACTTGTAATTAGATTAAATCGGAATCAGACTACAGTTACTTTTTTATTGATTACATGATTACATATTATTCGCACAATGGCAATTAACTAGCATTAAACAAATAAAATATTCAATTTTTTTAGTAAGTGCTTTATTTTGATTGATGTAATTTTAAAATGCCTTATTTTAATTTTACAGTTTTATGATTTAATGAATTAATAACTTTTCAAACCCCCTGCAGTTCTTTCACGAACCCCAGCTGGGAAACCCTGATAATGTAATGTTTAATGCACTTCATTTTGTTAATAACAACAAACAGAATAGAGTACATTTTCTTACTCCTTTTTTATATCATATGGTACAACATTATCCTATTTAAATCAATGTGATAAACGGGTTAGGTCAAAGTAATCTAAAAGTAGTAGTAAAATGTGTAATGTAATGGATTATGTTACTAATCACAATTTTTGTCATATAATTTGGAATCTGTAATGGACTACAATTTGTAAGTAATCTACCCAGCTTTGTACATATACTGTATATATATATATACATACAGAGAAAGAGAGAGAGAGAAAATAACATCATAATTAAATTAAATTTATTATTTTTTTATTATTATTACTTAATTATCTTTGTATTTAAATTAGTATTTATCTATTTACTACTAATAAATATCTATATTTAAAATATGAATATAGAATAATTAAATATAATATAATAAATAATAATACATCATAAACAATAATAAAATATAATATTCTATATACATATTTATTTTTATTGTTTTTAATATATATATATAATTTATATAATTAATATAATATAATAATTTATATAATATATATTTATTTATTTTTTATTATTACTACTATCAAATATTTATTTAGATATTTAATAGTAGTAATAATAAAAAAAATACATAACTAAATGTATGGGCCACATTTAACTGCAATGTTACTATGCTAACATAACTTTAGTACGTTACCAAATCCGTGGCTTGTGCTCCAAAGACACTTTCTAAGACTGACATCATAGTGGCTTGACCACCAGCAGCCTCCAGCACGGAGTTCTCCTGGTCATCCACGGCAGCTGAATTTCCAGTGACCACAGACTCTGGGATCGTCCGGTCCTGTTCAACAGACCATTTTTGATGATGAATACATTACTAGTCACCAAAAACATACTGCTAATGACATTAGAGAATGCTTCCAGGTGTCTCTGTTTTTACCGTCGTAATCTCCGCATGCGTGTCGTCTCCAGCTCTGGTTTTCTCTGACTTGAGTTTTAGGGGTGAATCTGACTCCCGGTCTGCTGAATCCCTCTGTGGGGTGGGTTTCACCTTCCGTCTGGCTCCTCCGATGGGGATTGAAGCTGGGCTGGGGTTAGATGAGGTACTCGTGTTGAGATTCAGAGAGAGCAGGTCCTTACTGAGCTCATCAAGGCCGGACTGCTCAAGATGCTGCGGTGTCTGTCCAGGACTTTGGGCAGGGGTGGACTGGCGAGGAGATTTCTTGCCCTTGCCCGCTGATGCCCGCTTGCCTTTCGGTTTAGGAGATGGCAAAGCCAAACGAAGTGACTCTGGAACTGATATAAACACAAAAACGAAAGCATGTTGCATTCAAACAATTATCCTGTTCTTACAACTGAATTCTTCAGACTTAACAGGGAGCACACTTTTCGATATGCAAACTCACTCTGTATTCTCAGGGAGCTCCAGAAGGGGGCGAGAGCACGCAGGACATTGTTAATCGTGACAGTGGCATTGGTCTTTGGAGGTGGCAGATGGTCTAGAGATGGAGGAGAGTCTCCCAGCAACATACTGGTGCACATGGACATTGACTCAGAGATGGAGGTGAGGTTATATCCTCCCTATGGTATACAGTAAAAACAGTAATATTGTGAATCATTATTACAGTTTAAAATAACATTTTCATATTTGAATATATTATAAAATGTAGCCTAATTTATTCCTGTGATGCAAAGCTGAATTTCAGCATCATTACTCGTCTTCAGTGTCACGTGAACCTTCAGTAATCATTCTAAGATTTTGCCAGCTCACAATGAGCACATTTTCAAAAATGAGTTATTCTTACATTGGAAACTGTGATATGTCTCATTTGACATCTTTAAATTTGTCTGGTGTCTAGAGACATTCTCTAGGTATTGATTTCAGCATAAGCCACTGAAAAACTCAACAGTACAAAGTGCAAACATTGTGAATGTGCGAGTGAATATAACCCACCTCCAGTATGACTAGCACTCTTCCTGCAGCCAGACTCATTAACTGATGGGTGAGGTGGGCGTAGCCCTCTGGGGTCACCTGATACCCTCCTAACGGATCACCTCGTGCTGCATCAAACCCAGCAGACACCAGCACCAGCTCTGGGGCAAACTAGAACACAGACAACACTATTCATTTAGTGTTTAACTCCAAACAACATCAGGTAAATATGAACATATGTTGTGATTTTACCTCTCTGGCTATCGGCATCACTATGTGATGGAAAGCCGCCAAGTATTCTGGGTCTCCCATCTTTCCTCCACTCCAGGGGATGTTGACATTGTATCCTCTGCCTTTCCCTTGCCCCACCTTATCATAGTTAGCATCCTCCGAACTGGGGAAGAATGTACCGTCTTCGTAGCGATGCAGAGAGATGTACAGAACACTGGGAGAACAGAAAGACATTTGATAGGTCAGCACTGCGACTGATCTCAAACAACGATATTTATACATTTGACAACATAAAGAGGACACATTAATAATGCAAACCCCTTTTGCCTATCCACCCAGACAAAACAAAACTGCAAAAATTAGGCATTTAGATTCATGGTTATGATGCACCAACTTTCACACTTTAGCACTGACTGTTTTATGAATGCAACTTTGTAAACAGGCTTTTGTTGAATGATGTGGAAGTTAAATACTAGATTTGATCATCATCATCATCACTGATCCAGGCCACTACTGTATATGTACTGTATTTGATTATGGTTGACTGTTGGACTGGACAAACCTGTCATCCTCCTCAAAGATGTGCTGTGTGCCGTTTCCATGATGAACATCCCAATCGAGGATGAGGACGCGCAGGGACTCGTGAGTGGTGCACTGGGCATAGCGTGCGGTCAAAGCGGCCGTATTAAAGAAACAGAAACCACAAGCTGTGTCTTTCTCTGCATGATGACCAGGAGGACGGACTATGGCCACGCCGTTTCTCACCTACATGACCAAACAAACAACTGAGGAGACCTGGGAACAAATTCAAGCAGTACTTCTGTGGCATACAGTATTATACTGAATATATTATACAGTATACTGAAACATGTTAAAAAAGTGTTTTACTTATGAAGATCACAAAATGACACACCTGGCCTGTGAGTATGGCCTGTACGGAGTTAAAACACGAGCCAGCGGCCATCAGGGCACAGGTGTAGCTCTCATTACTGATGTAGATGGAGTTGTAATCGTTTCCCAGTCTGTGCAGATCTCTGGGCTTCATGTGCTCTGTACTCTTTATAGTGCTTATGTGCTCAGAACTAAAGAGATAAACAGACACGAATTGGATCAAATGTAGTGTACAACATTAGTTTTAGTAAGAAATCACCACTAAACAGGATTGCGGAAATGTTAATTATGCAAATTAAATTAAATTTGATTTGTATTTAATTTTTTCTACAGTAATGTGGTCGATATTGATTTACTCGTTTGAATGTCACCTGTGACAGAGTGCCAGCTCTTCTTCTGTTGCTAGGCGAGCTGGTATCCAAAGGCAACGGGACAGCAGACCCAACTCCTCATGCCGGCAAAAGATGCGTGAAATTCTCTGAGGGAGCTCTGGATGATGACTGTGGCAATCAATACATCCTCATCTTATATGTTATATACAACCAAGTAATCAAACCACTCAAAAAAAGAAAATTGTCACTTTTCACAGGGATACTGTGGTGTTATGTTATTAATGCTCTCACCCATCCCACATGTTGTGATGAAGCATCATTCTCTGGTCGTAAACTAGTCCAGTGATCAGAGAGGAAGCCTTCACTTCTGCACACACTGGAGCGGGCAGGGGAGGGACATCGGACAGAGGACCACCCTCTGAAGATCAAACACACACATTCAAGAGCCACAGAAAACAGAAATATCTGTGCCTGTTAAGTCTTGCAATGGTACCAGATGTACCAAATCATTTCTGAACAAAAATGGTGATGAATGCTTTCTTTATATCTGACAATAATATAATAACATCAATGACCAATGAATTTCCATGTTTTTTCCAGTGATTAGTGATAAGGATTTTTAAAGATAATTTTGTAGAGATTTTTATAGAGGGCAATTTCTAGCCAATTAAATATTAGGGGATATTAAAAATACATACTTTTTTTTTTTGTAAAGATAGACTTTTAAATATATTTATTTATTAATAAATGTATTTAATAACTACATTTTCCATAATACAGGGTGATCAAACTGTACTTTTAATAGAGTCTTAATGTTTCATATCTGCACCAATATAATGATGGTGATTTAATCAGTTTATTTGTAAATAATAATTCTTGTCTTTTGGTAATTCTTACCAAACGTCTGAAGACTCTTCCAAAATGGATACAAGGCTGAGATGGTCTTTGAGATGGACTTCAGGGCACTGCAACAAAACATCAAAATAAAACAGAGCATAACACAAAGAAATGTAAGAGAACGCAGGGAGATGTGTTCCTCAGTTCACTCACCTTTCACTCGGAACACCAGGAGAGATCAGATGAGGGCAAGGGTCACCCAGCAGTGACCTCACACTAGCACAAACACACTCTGCTGTGGACTGGAGGTTATATCCACCCTAACAGATGAAACACTAGTGAGTCTGAGTGAGATGTTAACCCCAAAGAAGAAGATTTTATTCTCTCGTGGCATAATACGATCGTACCTCAAGAGCCAGCACAAGTCGTCCCTGTGCTACACCTTTCAGCATGTGGGTCAGGATGGAGAAGCACTGTGGACTCACTCGCATCTCACCCTAGACATAAAGAATGTTTTAAAGAATTCAAATGCAAGGAGTTTTTGAAAATTTTATTAAAGAGACTGAAGCTGAGCATCTCACCATTGGGTCACCGATCACAGAGTCAAATCCGGCCGCCACTAACACCAGCTGAGGCTGGAACTGTGCAGCACGTACACAAGAGATCAGTCATTAATAAACAATAAAGCATTCATTCCAGATGTGCAGGTGACTGATCTGACAGGTGTACCTCATACGCCACAGGCAGGAGTAGCTGCTGGAAAGCTGTGATGTAATCTCCATCCTCCATTCCTATCTGCAGTTAAATAAAGAGATCAGGCCACATTCAGCACCAACTCACCACACTACCATAGCATTTTTTTGTCACTTATAATCCAGTATAATATTAGTGATACTTTAGTTTGCATGACCATTTTCAACTTTTTAATTTAAACAGATGTTTTTAGGACTTCTGTATGCAAATATGTGACCCTGGAGCACAAAACCAGTCTTAAGTCGCTGGGGTACATTGTATGGTTCAAAATTATCGATTTTTCTTTTATGCCAAAAATCATTAGGATATTAAGTAAAGATCATGTTCCATGAAGATATTTTGTAAATTTCCTACCGTAAATGTATCAAAACTTAATTTTTGATTAGTAATATGCATTGCTAAGAACTTAATTTGGACAACTTTAAAGGTGATTTTCTCAATATTTTGATTTTTTGCACCCTCAAGATTCCAGATATTAAAATAGTTGTATATCGGCCAAATATTGTCCTATCCTAACAAACCATACATCAATGCAAAGCTTATTTATTCAGCTTTCAGATGATGTATGAATCTCAATTTCAAAAAATTGACCCTTATGACTGGTTTTGTGGTCCAGGGTCACATATACATTTGTTAATCTCTTGAAATGAGTCACGTCAACACTGACAAGCAGAGTAAATTAGCGTGGTGTACCTTGTTCCAGGGCAGGTTGATATTGTAGCCCTGTCCTGCTCCTGAACCCACCGAACTGCTGTCAGACTCCTTGAGGTGCGGCCAGAACGAGCCGTCTTCATATCTGTGCACTGAGAAATACAGCACACTGCCACACGGGAAGACAGAGAGAGAATCTTTACAAATGACAGACATTCATACAGAATAAACGCAATATGACGTAATATAACACGGTGCTTCAGATACGGACAAATATACCTGGGATCCTCTTCAAAAATATATTGGATTCCCTGTCCGTGATGCACATCCCAATCCACAATTAGAACTCTGAAGGAGGAAAAAGGTACAACTCATGCTATAGACTCTCAAACCATACATTTCATTGAAGTCAACATGAAACGATGTTTGCAACACATTCAGTTCTGTTCACATCAGTAAAAAAATACATTTCAGAGGTGAAGAACGTCATTGTGTTTGATGAAAAAATATGAAAACAAACTTTTTAATATCTATACTAGATGTGCCTCTATGAATCGCTCATCAAGAATGTAAGGTCAATTTCAAAATGTCTTTAATAAATTAAAAGTGCAAATAAAAATGTGACGGTACAGCAAGACATGCAGACTCTCACCGTTTAACTCCATGCTGTTTCTGAGCGTAGCGCGCTGCTATGGCCAGATGGTTAAACATACAGCAGCCGTTCATCTTATCTGCATGAGCGTGGTGACCAGGAGGCCTGCGTGTACATGAAAAAAACAGTAACTCAAATAGATCAATGATCTACAGTATATTAGAACTGCTAAGAATAACAGATGCAACGAGACCTGTTGACGGAGAAGCCGTTATGCAGCTGTGATGTCATCACCTTATCCACCAGCTGGAGAACCGATCCCACTGCCAGACAGGCAGAGGTGAAAAATTCCTGGAGGAATTCAAAAATTCACACAATTAAAGACATGTTGTTGGGCAACCATAAACAAATAAAACACATTCTAATTATTATGTTTTATTACTTTGTATAATTAAAAAAAAAAAACAATAAGCCAAAAGAGATTTTGATTCATGATCAAGTCCTTTATAGGCAATAGGGTTGCAAAAAGGTGGAACATTTCCAGTAAATTTCGGAAACATTCAAGAAATTTTGGAAAGTTTCCAGGATTTTTTTGGAATATTCCAGGGATTTTTGGAAAGTTTCCGGAAATGTTCCACCCCTTTGCAACCCTAATAGGCAATAATGCTCAATATAGTCAATATTATCATGTTGACTTTAAGAAACATCAGGGAATGTACTGGATTAAGATGAACACTGAAACATCGGGAATGGAAGAATAAGCACAGGACTGGTGAAGACTTGTGATTAGGTGACTAACAGGATGCAGGAAGACAGAGTCATATTTATCAGCCAGAGTCTTCAGCTCCTCCTCTGTCATTTTCTGAGTGGATTTCATCAGCTCTGCATACTCCTTCCTATTGTACACAACACATTCCCCCATGTGGCGTAAGATAATCATAAACCAACTCGATGAACGGTGTCAATCTTTATTCAGTCTTGCATATAAACTTACGTATGAACGAGTAACAGCTCATCTTCTGACACAGCTCTGGCCTTAAACACAAAACTAAAGCAATTAAAACTCAGGTACAAACCTGTTATCATCATCACTACAAGAGTATCTCTACCTCTACTCGTACGCAGCGTCCCAGCAGACCTTCCGTCTCCAGCATCTCCATCACAGTGCTCACTCTCGCTGGACACTCTGGGTGACTGAAAACAAAGACATCCAACCCACTGTTACAGAATAACTTCTATTAACCAATACTAATTTAAAACGAGGTTAAGTATCAAGAATAAGTGCAACTTTTTGGGATTAAATCACTAAAAATACTATTTCAATTTTAAGGCATCTTCAAACGAATGCTCAATTCAAGTTGATACAAACTTAATGCATATGACTAGAACGTTCTATCTTTGAATGCTTCATTAGCATCTACTGGAGAGTCTTAAAGGGTTCCCAAATTACTTTTTTTGTTAAAGGGATAGTTCACCCAAAAATGAATTTGTGTTCCGAAGAGAACAAACGTCTTACCAGTTTGGAACGACATGAGGGTGAGTAATTAATGACAGAATTTTCATTTTTGGGTGAACTTTCCCTTTAATTAAAAGAAGAAAAAAAAAAGAGACAGAATTTTCAATTTTAGGCAAACTATTGTCAATTAATTAAACCATCCTGAAGCATCACCTGGCATCCCAGAGGCAGTGAAAGCGAGTAAAGGCGTCTACGTAGACGAGACCTGTTCCTGTTGCTTTAGTCTTACCACGAACATCCTAAAAAAACATCCCAAAAACATTCAAACAGCCGTTCCAAAAGCATCCCATCTCTGAGCTTGCATTCTCACACTGATATTGCATGTGTGTAACTGGATCATGTGCAAAATGGTTTTGCCATGCTACAAGCTACTTGCAATCTAAAGTAGTTAAGTACAGTAATGCCAGCTTTATGAAATAGTATGTAAGCTACTGGACAAGGACAAATTGCAAGAAAAATAATGTTGCAATAACAGAAATATTTTTGGTTGAAAAAAAAAAACAGGCTGTTATTGTTATTATTTATGCAAAATGAATTTGAATTTTTTGCTTTTAATTTTCTTTCAAATATAATATAGACGATCCTTGACAATTTTCTTGAGAAAACACAGTGACTGTGATTAAGTGTTTACCAAGTTTTGGAGCTCATTGCTCATCTCCTCCTCCTCCTCTTTGCTCCGATCCATTCTGCCCTTCCTCCGCGCCTCCTGTAGATTCTTCTTATGGTTTGGATTGTTGTTTTCTCTCTGGAGAGCACAAAGGTCTTTTAGAGAGATTTGCATGCAGTCTAAAACAGGAATCCAAATCAAGCACTGGCTCCCACATCTGACATTTAAGAATGAGCAAAACAGAGCAAGACACTGCATAGATCAAGTGGGCAAACTTCAAGAATATCTGTGGATTATTAACCTCTGAATGAAGCTACTCATGTACACACTGATCAAAACAGCAAATGATTAACATACAGGTGCTGAACACGGTCTTAAAGGAATACTTCATCCAAAAGTGAAAATAATAACACACCTACAGGCCATCCAAGATGTAGATGAGTTTGTTTTTTTTAAGTGTTGTCTATATATACATAATAAATATACACAGTATACACACATATATAATGTAAACAAAAACTTTTATTTTGGATTAGATTAATCGCGATTAATCGCTTGACAGCACTAGTTTTTTTCATCTGAACAGATTTGGAGAAATTTAGCATTACATCACTTACATCACAAATGGATCCTCTGCAGTGAATGGGTGCCGTCAGACTGAGAGTCCAAACAGCTGATAAAAACATCACAATAATCCACAAGTAATCCACATGACTCCAGTCCATCAATTAACATTTTGTGATAAGATGCATGGTTTTAAGAAACAAAACCATCATTAAGGCGTTTTAACTTTAAACCTTCGTTTTAACTTTAAAACTTTAAACTTCCCCCACCTCTCACAGCAACATCCACCAAGATATTTGCTTAGAACTGTTTGCACTTGTAAACAGTGCTTGATCTGTGCCTATTTCTCTCCTGATTCAGATGAGACAACTTTTTTTTTCACGGTGCATATTATGGATAGAGAGAAAAATATCTTGATTGATTTGTTTCTTACAAACATGCAACCAACACTCAGCTGTTTGGACTCATTCTGACGGCACCCATTCACTGTAAAGGATCCAATGGTGAGCAATTGATGCGATGCTAAATTTCTCAAAATTTAGCTCAGAGCTAAAACTCTTCTAACGTTACATCTTGGATGCCCTAAGGGAGAGTAAATTTTTAATAATGAAAGAAATAATGAAAATAATGCTTTTTTTTCCAATAAAGCAATGGAATATAAGCATTCTCTCACATTGGTTTCTGGTGTTCCTCTTAGTGATCGAGTAGAACGTTTGGAATCTGGAACAGGATCCATCAGCTGAGGATTTTACAGATCCCCACCAAAAACCTTGAGAAAGCCAAACGTCCCAAATAGCATGTATAAGAAAGATCATTTATATGGAAGTACTAATAATTTAATAACAAAATAGAAGTTATTGCAGATGCTACACTTAGTTTTATAGCATATACAGAATAAATAACCCAAGAATTTGCTGTTGTCGCTATGAAACAAATACATAGCAGTTCATAACACGATATGTAATAATAATAATAATAACACAATTAAAAGAAAAAGTTTCTAATTAATACATGAAAATATATAAAACCATCCATCCATTCTGCTTGTCCACAAATTCGACATTTGTGAAATTACCAATTCGTTATTTCTTAAAAAAAAACGTCTGGAAAAATGAAAGTGACAGATGTCTGAAGAATGTAGGTACAGAACAGGTTTTACTTACTGCTTTCAGAAATGTGTGAAGTGTATGAGAAGATATGAACAGATTTGCTGTCAGATTCTTATGCCGTTGACAAAAACACACGTTGAAATTCAGATAATATATTAAAAAAGACCAATCTGCCAGTCATTTGAGCCAAGCTGTCTGCTTTCCTAAGTTTCCGTGCCTGTTGTTATTCTCTGGACTGAACATAAAAGTGGAAAATGAACGTAGCAATATGAGGACGGCATAGCAAATACAACTGTTCACTAGAAAGGGTACGAAGAAGCACAATAATGTTTTGTTTGGAAATGCTAACGGCTAACACGCCCAACTGTGCAGAGCAGTGGAAGCGAATATGTTTCTATTAACTATTTCCTAAGCAGTTTATCCTCTAGGGGGCGCGTGGAGGCTCGGACGTCAACAAATTACACTTATTAAAGCGTATTAAAAAAGTAAATTGTTATCTGAAATCACGTGGTTTCTGACACAACTTTTTAAAAATCCTTTAGTAATCTCTATAAAATATAATTTACAGTAAACACAAACGACTGTGATCGGTCCGTCCTGACCGCGTTGATATGTTCACCTCATAGGTTCACCTGAATAACTAAACTTCAAGTAAAAAGTGGTACACAGCGTACCAAACCAACTAAATGGCGCTTCTTCGTCGCTGCACCCCGCCCCCTTTAGCACTCCGCTCTTTACGTTAACTACCATTCTTCCTGTTTATTTTTCTACTAGGCGCGCGAGCAGGCGCACTGAAATTACGTCGCACTGAACGCGCTGCTTTCTGCTGTAACGCTGGAGGTCAGTGTTGCGTATTTACCAAGCGTTGAGACTTCTTCACATGTATCGAAATTCTCAAAGACAGATTCAGAGATAAGTGTGCACACAAGTACACCCTGGTTCTTTTATTTATTTATTCTTTTTTGTTCTTCATAATTTATGTGAGGGACTGTGGCCCCAAGTGCGCTATATAGGCGTCAAACTGAGGTCTGCTAGAAATAAAAATAAGATGCATGAAATAAATAAATTTGATTAAAATAATAAACAAAGACACAAACCAACAAATACTACACCTAACAGTATATGACTATATTGAGTACAAAAAACATGATAATGTAATGTAATAGAAACTAAATATTTTCCAAATAATATTTTATGCATATTTATAAAATTCTATATATATTTTTTTATTTTTTTGCAATGATATACACATTTTCACAGTATAAATTATAAATGAAAATATATAGCTTTATTTTACATGTTAAGGTGATGGTTCCTCGCTCAAGGAATATCATATTTGGGGGTCTGTGGCATCTAAAAGATGGGCTTAGATATTTTTGCTGTAATTATGACAAAGCTGCTTTGTCGGAAAAAAAAACAGAAACTGGGATTTTTTTTGATATATTAAATGAAGTAACCATGATTCATTTTGAGTGGGAAAAAAAAATCATTGACATATTTTTGAGCATTTTAATTTGCATAAGAATAAGGTTATTTAAATATATGAATAATAATTTATTAATTTAAATTGTTGTTATCCTAGTTAGCTCTAAAAAACAAACAGGCACTAATAAAGCAACTACAATCAAATATTTCATCAGAATACACAGCTATATTTGAATGGCTGTCAGTGGAGAAATGGGGGATCAATGAGGTCAACCAGCAAAATTTTGACCCTTGGTGGAGGCCATCAAATAAATCAACATTTTTGCACACAAAAGCAGTTTATTCGGCATACTGAGACATCGCCTCTATAGATTTTAAACAGAAAAGCCTTCACGAGGAGGGCTCTGGGCCTGAAACCTGTACAGATCAGATGGAAAGATGTGATAATTTGACTAGAAATCCCCATTTAAGCCCTTCTTGTGTTTGTCAGTCTGTTGCGTGAATGGAAAAGAGGTTGCGAGCGCGAGCGCTAACGTTCGGGCCTGTACGTGTCGGCTGGACCTGTCCTGTGGTTGCTAATCTCTCCCAGTCATTCAGTAGCATTTCCCCCTCACTATGGTGCCGACTCCACCAGATAACACGGCTTCACCCTGAATGGAGGAAGCCCATGACAGAAAAAAGCGAACGATGTGCCTTGTGCACCAGGCTTGAAAAAAACGCCCATGCCACTGCTTGCAGCCTCTCTCTGTGCATCTCCCTTTCCCTTTTGCACTTTTTTAATAGAGTCCGGAAAACCAGAAGCTGCCTGCGTTGCACAATGAGGCTCCACTAGAAGCAAGGGGAGCAGAGCTATGTGGTCAACCATGAGAGATGGAAACAGATGGAGGAGAGAGGAGGGGCGCTATCTGAGATATCATCGCCAACCATAGCTCAGCTCACACAGAAACCCCTATTCCACAGCGCTGAGGCCTTTTCCCAGACCGGCATGCAACAATGCACACAATAAAGCCAATTTGTTGGCTCAGAGATGCTGGGATTGTAGTGCGCGTGTGTGTTTGGGTGACCTTTCTGGACTCTAAATGTGATATCTGCCATAACAGGCTGGAAAGAGTTATGATTTTGACTAGAAAGCAACCACTTAGCCACATAACAGCATCTTAACAACACTCAGAACACCTATGCAGAAACTGCATAGCAACACCCTGGCAACCACACACAACAGTCAAACATTCCCATATAGCAAAAATCAAAAAATAAATCCAACCAACATATATTGTAAATATATGCTAAATCTTTGTTGTAAACAGTGAAGCTCAGTGACATTTATTTTTAAAATTGAAAATATATTTAGTTTGGTTCAAAGATGCTGGAAATATACTGTAGCATGCATATATATATACTTACACACACACACACACACACACACACACATATATATATTTTCAAATGTTTTTAAATATATATTTTTAACAAGGCCAAATATATGTATTTGCTCAAATGTTTCAAAATATATGTAGTATACCCGCTTAAATATATCTACCAATAATCTAGTCCATTTTTTTCTATATTTTTGAAAATAATACATTTTGAAATATATTCTGTTATAATTTTAGCAAATATATTCTATAAGCATCATTAAATCATTACAAATCTTAGTCTAAATATATAGTAAGTTTTAATCTCAAGCATAAATGTAGGCTAGGAGAGATTGAAAATGTATGTTCTTGCCCCTGAAATAAATTTTTAAATATATTTTGGTATATATTTACATTTACATTTAGTCATTAAGCAGGTGCTTTTATCCAAAGCGGCTTACAAATGAGGACAATAGAAGCAGTCAAAACTAACAAATGAGCAACAATATGTAAGTGCAAATGACAAGTCTCGGTTAGCCTAACGCAGTACACGTAGCAAGGTTTTTTATATATACAGGTATATATATATATTAGTATATATATATATATATATATATATATATATATACTTTTTTTGCCATATGGGGTAATCCTTTCTTGACACTAAATGCCATATCCGCCATAACAACAGTCAGAGTTATGATTCTGACTTCTAAACAACCACCTGGAACCCCTTAGCAACCACATAGCAACATCTTTGCAAAACAACTCAACTGTACTTTTAATGGAATTCAAGATACTACACTGGTTAGGGAGCAACATATGACATAAATAAGAAAGTGGAACATCTATAAATTTGCCTGTGATTTGCAAAACTAAACTACAATGTGTTTCAGACTGTTGAAGATGATAGATCATAGATGATGTGTCTCCCATGATAAGCAAATACTGTTGAAGAAATGTTTCTCCTGTCTGAACTAATTGGCAGTGAAACAGCTCATATGATTTACGAATTTTGACATCACTGATCCACTATGATTTTGGAGCAGCACTTGACCTGCTCCGCTGTGCTATGGAAAGTGCTGGATTTGCATATGCGCTGTCATGGCACATCGTAACTGTCGAACTCCCACCACAAGCTAATTCATGCAGGCTGCAGAGCTCACAATGGAGCCATAGAAAAACCAAAACCACAATATCAAACGTCTGTTACGATGCAGTTACGTTAAGGAGCCTCACCACTTTGATATAGAGACCGTTTTGAATTCAAACAGCGTTCAAGCGAGTCTTCACGCTCCTCTTGTATCTATTGTCAAGATTTACAGCAAATGCAAAAAGAAAAAGATGCTTCACATAAATGTTTATTTGTAAACTGCATTCATTTTCTATACAACACTTTAAAAACAGCTTACAAATCCCAAAAAGAAAAGTGTTAAAGAACGTTAAAGAAAAGTCATTACAAACACAAAAAAGTAAAGGTAGTCTATATATACACTACCATTTAAAAGTTTGGGGTTGGTTTTTGAAAGAAGTCTCTTATGCTCACCAAGGCTGCATATATTTGATCAGAAATACTGTAAAAACAGTAATAATGTAAAATATTATTACTATTTAAAATAACAGTTTTCTATTTATTTGAATATATTGTAATTTATTTCCGTGATGCAAAGCTGAATTTTCAGGATCATTACTCCAGTCTTCAGTGTCACATGATCCTTCAGAAATAATTCTAATATGCTGATTGGATGCTCAAGAAACATTTCTGATTATTATCAATGCTGAAGCTATTTTTGTAGAAACTGTCATACATTTTTTTTTCAGGATTCTTTGATAAATAGTTCAAAAGAACAGCTTCTATTTAAAATTCTCGAACATTATAAATGTCTTTACTGCCGCTTTTGAGCAATTTATTGCATCCTTGATGAACAGAAGTTTTAATCTCTTTAAAAATACATATCTTACTGACCCCAAACTTTTTTTTTTAGTTTTACAACTATGGACATGTTACACTAATGCTTCAAAAAAAGTGTTGTAATATTTGTCATCTTTCAAGCTTTTCAAATCAAACAAACTTGAAAAGTGTGTTTGTTCTTTCTTTCTTTAAAATAAATGCACATGATTTGATGTTTTTGTATACAATGCATTGACATTCAGCTATTATGTGTGCCTTAAAGGGTTAGTTCACCCAAAAATGAAAATTAGCCCATAAATTACTCACCCTCAAGTCATCCTAGGTGTATATGACTTTCTTCTTTCAGACGAATCCAGTCGGAGTTATATTAAAAATTGTCTTTGATCTTTCAAGCTGTTTAATGCCACTCAGCGGGTGTTGCATGCATCAGTCCAAAAGAAGTTAAATAAAAAGCACCCATCCATAAAAAAAAAAGTGTCTCACACGGCTCCGGGGGTCGTAGGCCTCCTGTAAGCGAATTGATGCGTTTTTGTAAGAAAAATATCCATATTCAAAATGTAATAATCACTTTAATCTAGCTTGCGCCAACAGTTGTACACGGAAGCAGCTCTGGGCTGATGACGTATGAGGTCAGCATTGCGCATGCGCCAACGTTTGTTAACAGGAGCAAAGGAAGCAAAGTTTCCTTAGAAAGAAGTAAGTCATATACACCTAGGATGACTTGAGGGTGAGTAATTTATGGGCTAATTTTCATTTTTGGGTGAACTAACCCTTTAAGCATCCAAATATTTTTAGGGCAACATGTTTTTTCATGCATCCGCATTGGTTAAGCTTTCAAGTATGTTTTTGCTGAGTATGTGAACACATGGCTGGGCAGTTGTGAGTGTTTTGTACAACTTTTTCCAGGTTTCCATGAACTCAGTCTTCTGTCCAGTTTCCATCACACCACGCTGGGCAAGATGGCAGCTTGTGGGTGGTATGGGTAGGGCAGGCTGGTGTGGC